ATGTGAGTGTGTGTGTGTGTGTGTGTGTGTGTGCGCGAGTGTGTGTGAGTGCGTGTATGTGAGTGTGTGCGCGTGTGTGTGTGAGTATGTGTGTGTGTGTATGTTTAGTTTAGTTTAGTTTACAACTTCATTAACTCCACAAGGGGCAATTAGCAATAGGGCTTAATACAACACACAATAGAACATGTGTAAACATAAAAACACATATTAAACATTTTAACATAACATTAATGGATTTTAAAAAGCATCTTTAGTCGAAATGGAAATGCTGATTTAAGAACATCAATCCACTGACCACATAAGCAGTATTATTGTAGTATTATTTGAATACTATTATTGATAATATAATAATATATTTAATAACTGAAAATATAAAAAAAATGAAAGATAATAATTAATATAATTATAATAATTATATTTTCACTTTTCATTTAATTATAGTTTAAGTTTTAGTAATTCAGTAAATTAGTAAATGTGCTTTTTTGTTTGTTTGTTTTAATATTTATTCTTAGCTTTATTTTTTATTGCAGTTTTAGTATTTGTAAGTTAAGTAATTTTGAATTAGTGGCCAACGAAACATTCGTTTTAATTAAACTAAATTTTTTAATGTAAGTTTTTCGTCGAATGTTTTATTTCATCTTTAATTAACGAAAGCCGGTTTAGTAGTTCGTTTGGCCGTTTGCTATGGAAGCCCGTTTCCGCCACTGAATAAAAAAATAAAAAAGGTAATTTGCAACTCTTAGTTTAACTTTTTCTCGCAACTTTGTAACTCGCAATTGTGAGATATAAGCTCGAATTTGTAAGAAATTGAGTTGCACTTTATAACTCACAGTTGAGAATTTACATCTCGCAATAATGAGAAAGAAGTTTTGGTACCATTTACGTTTTAATCGGTACGGTACCTGAATTTCGATAGTGATACATATCAAATATATATTTCCTGTAATTAAGGATGCTATGACATCTACATGGTAGAGACCAGCGGAATTTCAAACAAACAAACAAACAAAAAGTCCTCAAAATTATTGAAAATAATTAAACTGTCCGTAATAAAAAAGCAAAGGACAAATGCTATAGAATAAAAAGATACAAATGAAACAAACTGTGCTTTAATGCTTTTTATGCAAGTCTCGAACAGCCTACTACAGAAATGAATAATCAAACGTAAAATAAAACGGCATAGTCTTCACTGTAAGAATTAAACTTTCTTTGTTTCTTATTAAAGCTACAGAAGTCCTTCACTCGAGAGCAGTGTGTGATTTTGAATTTGTCTTTTGTTGTTTGGTTAATATGAAGCACACAGTCGCAGCAGGAATATTAGGCTGCTGTCACTTTAAGAGCCGCACGGATCCAATTTACCGTATTTTCATTCTTAACTCTTTATGTTCATTTATTACATGACCGATGAAGGTACACATGAATAATCACTAAGTGCCGAATTTTGACACATTTTTGCGTGTATTTGACCGTTTAGGCGCACACCTTGAGCTAAAAGATGACTTTACATGTTTATGTTCTGTTCCGTCGCTGAGCGCATATATCTTCCTGAGGAGCAGCGCAAGTTCTCTTTCACGCTTTTAAAAACATGAATAAATATACTTCTATAAATCAAGCATGTCCCATTTTCCAAAAGTCACGTTACATGATTTGCACGTGAAAGTGGGCTTTTATGGAGGAACGAAAGCGCAGCGCTGGAAAAGGGGGCGGAATGGGGCGAAATAAGTTTTATCTCGATTACTGTATTTTTATAATCGTTGGAGGCCAAAATCGAAATCGAAACTGTTTGTCGATTTTAAACAAACTGTGCTTTAATGCTTTTTATGCAAGTCTCGAACAGCCTACAGTCTACTACAGAAATTAATACTCAAACGTAAAATAAAACAGCATAGCCTTCACTGTAAGAATTAAACTTTCTTTGTTTCTTATTAAAGCTACAGAAGTCCTTCACTCGAGAGCAGTGTGTGATTTTGAATTTGTCTTTTGTTGTTTGGTTAATATGAAGCACACAGTCGCAGCAGGAATATTAGGCTGCTGTCACTTTAAGAGCTGCACGGATCCAATTTACCGTATTTTCATTCTTAACTCTTTACGTTCATTTATTACATGACCGACGAAGGTATACATGAATAATCACTAAGCGTGTAATAGTCATTTTTGCGTGTATTTGACCGTTTAGGCGCACACCTTGAGCTAAAAGATGACTTTACTTGTTTATGTTCTGTTCCGTCGCTGAGCGCATATATCTTCCTGAGGAGCAGCGCAAGTTCTTTCACGCTTTTAAAAACATGAATAAATATACTTCTATAAATCAAGCACGTCCCGTTTCAAAAGTCCCGTTACATGATTTGCACGTGAAATTGGGCTTTTATGGAGGAACGAAAGCGCAGCGCTGGAAAAGGGGGCGGAATGGGGCGAAATAAGTTTTATCTCGATTACTGTATTTTTATAATCGTTGGAGGCCAAAATCGAAATCGAAACTGTTTGTCGATTTTTTTGCACAGCCCTACTCTTTGTAATTACAAAAGCATTTATTTCAGTGAAAAAATAAGTCCAAAAGCCTCAATTTCAACATTTTGAACAATAGGGCCCTACAAACTTTTTCTTTCTTTCTTTTTTTTCCCCCCCAGAAATTTTAGTTTTAATTTTTCTGAAAATCAAATGAAGGCATTAAACATTTACTTTAAATCAAATGAAAATTAAACCCTTTTATTTTTTGGCAAACAAACTGAGGTTTACTGTTGAAATTAATACATGGAAGGAAAAATCGTGTGAATATTCCTTTAAAAAAAATTGAATAGGCTAATAATTGTATAATTTTTTTCTACAATTAAGTGATTAATCTGGTTGCAATATTTGTTTTTATCATTTAATTGTTTTATTTAAATTTGATAGAAAATTGAATATTTAAAGATGTACATTATACTGTACAAAAGTAATACAAGAGTAATATATTTCCTTTATCGTATCATATCATATCGGGGCTTTTATGGAGGAACGAAAGCGCAGCGCTGGAAAAGGGGGCGAAATAATCGTTTTATCTCGATTATTGTATTTTTATAATTGTTGGAGGCCAAAATCGAAACTGTTTGTCGATTTTTTTGCACATCCCTACTCTTTTTACAAAAAGCATTTCAAAAGCATTTATTTCAGTGAAAAAATAAGTCCAAAAGTCTCAATTTCAACATTTTG